ACATACCAAGCGTGGGTGGGGACGGGAGCGAGCAGAACCCCGTTCTTTGCTGGAGAGGGTACAAACTGGAAACACCTGGGGAGTACCTGCTAGAGCGGAACGTCTCCATCACACGTGTCTAATCCTCAGCCATTCCAGCGTTAGGTCTATTCCAACAGGAACGCATCTACGGATGCCCAAAGGCATGTAGCAGGAATAGTCATTCAGAGCAGAACTGACTCGAATGGTCAGAAACGGGGAAGCCCCGAAATGCCCATCCACAGCCGGCTGGATAAGTAAACCATGGCAGATTCACACAGGGCTATGACACACGTGACACGAAGCCCACCCCCACTCAACACAGGAGACTGTCATGCCTCATGGAGCAAGAGTGACAGTCACAAATGAGCTCACACCATAACTGTACAGTTCCACGTTTACACAGGACAGATACAAGCAAAATGACACCATGCAGTTGGAGGTCAGGGCGGTGGGTCCGCTGAGGCCTGGGAGGTGATGGAGGGCAGCCTGGGGCTCCAGTTCATTCTATTTCTTAATCTGGTGCTGACTACATGAATGTGTTGGGTTTGTAAGACTCATGGGCTATGCAATCATAACATGTACCTTTCTCTATATGTATTGCATACTTCAGGAAGAGGTTATAAAAGAAAGGAAAAAGGGACAATGTAACCTAAAAGAAAAACATGAGCCAAGGAACAGAAAGAAATTCACCCCAATTCATGCAATAAAACTGCTTAATAAAAACATTAAGTTGGTAAAATACGAGTAAGAGTTCAAAGAAGGGTTTTTTTTTATTGAAATGAAGTTTCTAAAGAAATTTTTAAAAATTGAAAAAAAGGGAAATCGTAAAGATAAGGGGAAAAAATTGTGGACCCAAACATTACTGAACTAATATAATAAATTAGAAACAGTTTATTATAATCAAAATTACCAAGAAATAGGAAAGGCGTGAGATAATCACAAAAATTCAGAAGAGAAAGACAAAAAAGATCAAATCAATTAGAGAGAGAGACGTGAATAAATATGAAACACAAATAAAAATGATCCAACATACGGATAATTGGTGCAGGAGGCAGCATAACATTCCCCCACCCCGCCCAAAGATACCCATGTCCTAATCCCCAGAATTTGTGAATATGTTAGGTTGCTAGCAAGGGGAATCAAAGTAGTAGATGGAGTAAAGTTTGCTAATCAAACTTAAAATAGGGAGATTATCGGGCCAGCCGAGTGGCATGCTGGTTGGGAGTTGGCTTGGGACACCAGCTCCGAGCAGCAGGGCCCCGGTTCGGATACCACATGAGGGCCAGTGATGCTGCGCCCTCTACAGCTAAGATGGTGAACAACAGCTCGACCTGGAGCTGGGCTGCCATGAGTCACCGGCGACTGCATAGGTAGCAGTGGGGCTGGCCGGCAGCAGGCGTGAGTTTTCTTGAGCCCCGTGAGCGGCTGTCCAATGACCGGCAAGCAAATGCCTCACCCGGGAAGAATGCAATGATAATACCAACATGGGCCAGTGAGGCGACGTCCTTTACAACTAGACAGACAGCAACTTGTCTGTTCCCCTTCCCAGATTCCCCAATGCTGTTCCCCTCCCCCAATTCCCCAATAAAATTAAAAAACTAAACAAAACAAAACCCTAGCGCCTCTAGAAAGAAACTCAGTGCTATCCACACCTTGATTTTATGCCAGTGAGGTTGTGTTGACTTCACCCCCAGAAATGTAACTTAATAAAATTGTGTTGTTTTAAGCCACTGAGTTTGTGGCAATTTGCCCAGCAGCAATAAGAAGCTAATACAATTGGTGCCATTGAAAATAGCACCAACAAATGTAACGAAAGGTGTTTTAAGGATGTAAAGTAAATTCCCTGAAACTAAAAAAAGAAATGTGCAAATTCAAAGAGCACAAAATATGCTAGAAAGTCAACACTAGTTATTCAACTCTGAGTGTGGTCTGGTTAAACTAGTGAACTACGAGGCAAAAGAAAGAATTCTTCAGAAATTCAGGAAGAAAAGGCAAATCACCCACATGCGGGAAAATATCATCAGTTGACCTCAGGTTTCACCACAGCACATCCAACATCAGGGAACAGCGGGACAACAGTTACAAAGTGCTGAGGGCAAGAAAATATAACCTAAGAGTATTATACCCAGCCAGGATATCATTCAAAGATAAAGGCAATGGGCAGACAGACTCAGGCACGCACACACTCAGGAAATACTCATGGGCTCTTCCTGGAAAATAACAGAAAATTAAATTATGAATTAGAGGGACAGCAAAATAAAGAACTCACAGACACAGATTGGTAACAGGACTGATGGTGAGCACTGCATCCTCAAATGGTGAATTATTTCTGAGCAATTATGGCCGTGGCAGCTACAACGTGGAAGTGAGCGTTCTAAACCTGGTCAATGTGAAAATAACACCAAGGCTACACAACTCAGGTGCTGGGTAGGTGGAGAGGATGGAAATCTGAAGCTGAAAACACTCACCTCTCAATGCCAGAAGCACCCATATTGTTTTGAAGTGAAACTTGTCTTTAAAATAATAGTAGTAGTAGTAGTAGTAGTAGTAGTAGTAGTAGTAGTAGTAGTAATTTCAACTTCCTACAGTTTTTCATAATGTATTTTCTTAACCCTAGAAGAATCTTCCAGTAAATCAAAAACCCTCCAGGGGCACACCTATGACACTGGTTCTTTCCTGCAACATCTCAAGCCAAGTGGACAACAAGAGGCCTTGTGGAAAACGTCCTTCAGCCTAAGTCCCCCCTTTGTGTCAAGGGAAAACCTTTGGAAGAAAGCATTGTTTTTAGAAGTCCTCAGTTCAGCATGTAACAAAAAGAAAGTAATGTAACAGAAGCACAGCCAAGCCCTTGTTCAAACCAAGCCGAAGGAAGTTTTACAAACATTCTGTCCACATTCCTTATTGCCTCACATCATGATAGAACTCAAAGCGTCCTGCAGCTAGTTCCCAAACACACACAGCTTCAAAAGCGCCATGCTTCATTTGTTGATGTTTCCCCTCCTCTGCGGCTCCTCTGTGCACTGACACCAGCCCTGAGGACCTGGCTGCGGAGGAAACGGCCCTGCCCTTCTACAGCTTAAACTCCAGGGCTGTGCTTGCTGCCTGGTATCTGTGCTCACCGGTATGGTGGTCATTAGCCACACGTCCCTGTTGAGCACTTTGAAATGTGGCTAATACAAACTTTTGTGTTTCATTTTAACTACATTAAATTGACAAGAGCCACGTGTTGCTAATGGCATTATGGTGGATGACGCAGAATGTGCATTTTCATGAGAGTCCCCACCATGACTCTTCTGTCCATTGCGATTTGAGGATGAATCCAGGTTCTCATCATCAGCTCATGCCCATCACCTCAAACTCTCCCACTTCTCCCCCCTCCCCAGGCCACTCTCCCTAAGATTCTCCAGTGTTCCCATCGTTACTTCAGCTCATACTCCCTCCTGCTGACCCTGCAGACCACCTTCACATCCCCTGACCCCCAGCAGCCCGCCCAGGGTCCTACCACAACCTTCGCCAGTCAGGGATGTCCTGTACCCTTACTGAGCAGAGGCAAATGCTCTCCCTCCTGGCCCCAAACCAAGTTTATCTCCAGCTGAGTGTGCCCACCTCCCCTCCAGGAGGAAGTCTTCCTGTGCATTGTCTTCTCAGTAATCCTACCAAGCCTGGTCAGGGCAGGAAGCACACCAGGCCAGCTTAGACATCAAGGCTCCACTGCTGGGAGTGCCCTGCTAGTTGCTAGATGGGGTGCTGCCCCCATGGATAGCTTGACAAAGCCAATTAGATCTTCAAATTAAAAATGAAGAAGACCCAGGACAGCCGGTTAGCTCAGGTGGTTGGAGCTCATGGCACCAGGGTTGCCGGTTCGATTCCCAAATGGGCCAGGAAGCTGCACCCTCCACAACTACATTGGAGACTACTTGACTTGGGGCTGATGGGTCCTGGAAAAATACACTGTTTCCCAATAAAATTTCTTTTAAAAAAAAATGAAGAAGACCCCACTCCCTAGGCTGCCCTTCTCTGCTCCCCAGAACCAGACTGCAAGCCCGGAAGGCAGAAAGGGTGGTGTGTTACGGAACAGCCGGGTCTGTGGTGGAAACGTGCTTCACGCCCCTGGGAAGACAGCAGAAAGGCGAGCACGCACGGGTTTCCTCCCAAGGCCGCTCGATCTACAGCACAGCAGCCGTGGTGGTGAAAGCCGTGACTTCTTTCCCAACTAACGTCCATCCCCTCTCCCGGCTGCGGCTCTCAATCCTCAAACTTCGGGAACCCCCACCCCCGCTCGCTGCCCTGGAGCTCTGGGAGCTCTGGCCCTCCCCTCAACCTGGAACCCACTCTCCTGCGCTTCCTTCGCCCCAGCCGTACTCTCCAGGGTCACTTGGTTCCTTGCCTTCCCAGGCCGGTCCACCAGGGCGAGGAGCTCCTCGGACACGCCGGTAACCCTAGAGAAGCACCCCCGATTAGTGCTCTTGCGTCTCCTCTCGTTCCGGTTCCATCCCACCCACGCGAAGAGCCGCCACCTGGGAGCTTGTGCCCGCCGTGCTGGGATCCTACGCTTTGATCAGCTCCCGCGGTCTCCGCAACCCCCACGCGTTCTTTCCAAATGCGTCGCGCTCACGTGGGTCTCCCTGCGGGGCCAACTCCCCAAACCCCGGCTGCGTCGTCCCCACGCTCCCCCCTGCCTGGCAGTCATCCCCAGGTTGGGAGGACTCACGCGCCCTGCCCAGCAGCTCGCTCCTGACGGCGCGCAAACCGCGGAGAGACGATAGAGAACCCGCCTCCGTGCCAGCCCCAGGCCCCCAACGAGCCGCCTGGGGCCCCACGTGAGAAACGGGATTGCAGCTGGGGCCGCCGGCGTAGTGACGGTCGGATCCAGGCAGAGACAGGTCCGCCGCGAGCCCCGCACCCCCAGCCCCGCTCCTCGCCCATATGCCAGGCGCACCCCCGGCCCCGCTCCTCCCTGGCCCCGACCCCGCGCTCACCCGCCGGGTGGCCGTACGGGGACTCCGCCGCGCCGTCCTGCAGGCTCGCCAGGATCTCGCCCTTGCCCACGTCGCTGTCGCCCACCAGCAAGAACTTGAGCAGAAAGTCGTACGCGCGGACCGGGCTGCCCAGGGCGCTCATGGTGCCGCCGCCGGCGTCCGCACCCATGCCCGCCCGGCGGGACAGCACTGGGGCGACCGCAGGGTAGCCAGGCGCCGCGCGGACCTCCGGTGCCGGGATAGCCGCCGCCCCGCGCCCCCGCCCCCGCCGCCTGACAGCGCGCGGCCCCGCCCCACCGCGCTATTGGCGGTTCGTAGTTGCTAGGGTGGTTGCGCATGCTCATTGGCTGGGCTTCCCGTCCATCTCGCTGTCGTCTCCACCTCCAAGCTGACGCTCTCCCGCCCCTCCCGGGAGGATTCTGCGGCTGCTGCCTACGGTGGATGGGAGGTGGGCCAAGGGCGGGACCGAGAGCGGTGACGCTACTGCCACAGCCAATGGACGGCCGGGGCGGGGTGGGGCGGAGCCTGAGTGGGCAGGGAGGGGACGCTGCTCTCGCCGCCCGCGCCGCGCAGGGTACTAGAGCACGGGTCCCAGCCGTAGGTTTACTCCGCTGTTCGGACCGGCGGGGGGGCGCTGAGGGCCGGCTCGGTACGCAGACGGGCGGGCTGGACGCCCGGGCCAATTTGCCTGGAGTCAGGGGGTCTCCATCCCCGGCGAGCTCGCTGTGTCCCCCGCGGCTCCTCCAGGGCCTCGTTCTTGGCTCAGAGCGACGCGAAGTCTGTGGTTGCGCGTGCGCCTGTGTACGTGCGCACGTGTTCGTGTGTGTGCCTGTGTGCGTGTCTGTATTTGCGTCCGTGTGCCTCTGCCTGTGTGCGTCGGCGCACGTGTCTGTGCGGGTGCTGGGGGAGAGGACAGCGTGCCCCCCCCCCCAGGCTTCCCTCCGCGTCTAGGGAGCCGCGGGCGCTAGGCCTTCTGCGCTGGGAGTCTGACCAGGTGAGCGTTCGTCTCAATAAAATCCTTCTTGCGACTGCCAGTTCTCTTCCGTATCATATATTTTCCTTCCTTATTGGATCAAAATAAGCAACAATCGTTTGATTTGAGGAGGACCGTGACGTGTATGGGCTGCTTTTATTTTACCTGCTTCTGGTTGTGGGAGGATGACAGAGTAAGGAGAGCTCAAGCCTGCAGGGAGGGGGGTGAGGCCAGACGCCCTGCTCACACTCACGTTGCTGTATGGTGGGATGACTGCAGCTACTTTCATGCCCATGACTGAGACTGCCTCCACCCTTGGGCTCAGTCTCACCGAGGACCTGGGGGGACGATGTGAAGGACACAGAGGGTTTCCTCACCCAGGAGTGGAGGGGCCTCTATCAGGACCAGAGGTCTGCTGTCCCCAGGCAGGGGTTGCCATTGTAGGCAGTAGATGCTGCGGTCCATATTGGTAGGGCAACAACTGAGTGGGCTATGTCTATTTGTACTTTTTGTCTGCATAACCTGTGGTTGCCTCTTTGTGTGAGGATCTTGAGATAATTTATCCAGGGAGAAGAGAGATTTTTGTCCTGCCAGTTTGTCTGCAACCACCAGACTCCAACATAGGATGTCGGGTTCCCAGAGGAGACCCAGTGGGTTGAGAACAGATGTGTGCTTCACAAACCCAGGCATTCTGATAAGGCCCAAGGCACATGTTCCCACAAGACACATGCAGCGTTTGTAACCGGTGCTGGTCAGCAAGTATTCCTGACCAATGAGAGCTGCCCACACTCCAGGAGCCGAAGGACGCCAAGTCCTCATGAGCCTTACCCATGAGGTGACAAGAATTACTCACTAGCCCTCTCAGACATGTTCGTCCTCCACTTTCCAGAGCCAAGGCCCCTGGCCACATCTTCTCCAGGGCACCCTTGGCCCTGTATCCCCTCATTGCCTAGCAGGTGGGGTTCCTGAAGCCAGTCCAGGGCTGGTGGCAACTCCCTGGATGCAGAAGTGACTGAGAACCACATAAACATTTCCCAGGAAACCCAACTCCCACCCAAAGGGAAGATCACCCAAACACCCCACCATTCCCTGGCACGAGGAGCAGGGAACAAGACAGAGTGGAAAACTGCCGCGCTCTTAGTTAATTGTGGGTAAGTATATGACTTGTGTAAATTTCACAAACATGTACGACCATGAAAAGCCCCTGCAGTGCCACTCGTGCGCAGAGAAGCCTGTCTTCATCAGCGCAGGCTGCCATGCTGGAGGCCGGGTCATTCTTTGTGGTGAGGCTTTCCTCTGCATTGCTTGATCTGAGCAGCATTCCTAACCCCTATGCATTAGCTGCCAGTAGCACCCACTAAATGTGTCTCCAGAATTGCCAAATATACCTGGGATGGGGGTGCAAGATCTCTCTTCCCCACACAGTTGAGGACCACTGGTTTTGAGATTTGATTTCCGCGTGGCAATCCCTCACATGGAGATGAGAACAGGGCCTGTTCTCCATGTTGGGCCCCCACCGTGGCAGATCCCCCCGCCACCATTGTGACTGTTCTCAGTTTCCACCTGGCCCTGTCTTGTGACGATGGATGGTACTCTGGGGGAGAGGGCAGAGGATAGTCTGGCCATGGTCATGCATGTAGCAGAGAGGAGGGGCCACAGGGACGGGCTATCGTCAGGACTTGAGGGTGAGAGGGTGAGGGTCCCGAGTGGTCCAGGCCTGTGGTGGATGGACAATGAGAGAGTTTCAGGGCATTTGTGGTTTGCACACTTTGACCTCACAGCAATCCTAAGATGGGGATTGTTATTCTTGCTGATACTGGAACAAAGGAGCACTCAGAGAAAACGTGATGGCCAGAGGTCCTGCCTGGGGCCTCCATTGCTGGAGCTGCTCAGCACAGCATAGCAGCCCTGCTTTTGTTTTGTTTACATTTTTCAATTGTGCTAAAATATACAACATACAATTTACCATTTTAAGTAAAATTCAGTGGCATTCACATCATTGTGTAACCATCACCACTGTCACCTCCAGAACTTTATCATCTTCCCCAAGCTGAAACTCTGTCCCCATGAAACACTTACGTAACTGCCCATTTCCCCTCCCCCAGCCCCTGGCAACCTCCATTCTACTTTCTGTCTCTATGAATTTGGCTACTCTAGGTACCACATATGGAATCATATTTATCCTTTTGTGACTGGCTGATTTCAATTAGCATGTCTTCAGTTTTCATATATGTTGTGACATGTTTCAGAATGACCTTCCTTTTCTTTCTTAAATTGGGGAATTGGGGGATGGGAACAGTGCTGGGGAATTGGGGGAAGGGGAACAGAAAAGTTGCTGTCCTTTTGTTCTTCAGTCTAGTTGTGGAAGACGTTGCTTCACTGGCCCAAGTTGGCACCATCATTGCGCTCTTCTCTGGCGAGGCAGATCAGTCGCCAGCTTCTGGACGGCCGCTCACTGCGGCTGCTGGCCGCTCACGCTGAATGCTGGCTACACAGGGTAGCCCATGGCAACCCACTGCAGCAGGGGCTGCAGGCTATGCCTTCGCCAGCGACTCACGGCAGCCCAGCTCCAGGTAGAGCTGTTGTTCAGCATCTTAGCTGTGGAGGGCAGTGTCACTGGCCCTCATATGTGGGATCCGAACCGGGGCCCTCTGGTGTCCCAAACCAGCTCTTAACCATCGCGCCACTCGGCTGGCCCAGGAATCTCTTAACATAATGTGAAATTCGTATCCCATTTGACTATGGAAAAGCATTTCTTAAGTTTCTTTCTCTGATGTTCAAATAAAAATAGGCCGAGGAACTAAAAAGGGACTGACTGTGCTTTCTTCAAAGCCTCAGGCACTTGCACACACCAATTAACTCTTCTTATTTCTTCCCCCTGCTGTCAAGAAGTAAATAGAAACTAACAGCTGAGCAGTTTCACACTGGGTGTATACTTGCCGATGACTCACCAAGCATTCACAGCCAAGGTGCCAGTTGTTCTTCCACCATAGAAAGAAAATCTATTTTGAGCAAAACTGTAACCTCATGGATGCTGGATAAAGCACCAGAGCCGCTGGAAACCCTGTAAAAGTAGGCTTTACGCCAGACCTACGCCCCGCCCACGCCCCGCCCACAGTATGTCCATGCCCTGCCCCACGCCCTGCCCCGCCCACCCAATGCTGTGCCTAGGCCACGCCCACACCCCTGGTGCTGCCTCACATCCCGCTCTGAGCCCCGCCGAGCCGTAAGGCTCAGGTGTGCTCAGAACCCCCAAGGCTGACGTCCTTCTCACGCCACCTCTGGACTGGCTGCTGCTTCTGCGCTGTCCCTTCTCGGCTCCCACAGACAACAGCCCATGCTCATCACTCAGGACAGTTCACACCAGACCCGGGCGAATGGGGAAGGTCAAAGAAACCTGGGACTCTCGACGGTTCTGTCCGACAGCTGTCCGAGGCCCGCCCTCTCCCAGCTCCTACACTCATACGCACGGAACTGGAAACGCTACTCCGTGGCCAAGGAGAGAGACGTCTTTCGGATAAGAATAAATGCTGAGCCAACGTGGCAGCTCGTGAAGGCAGGTGCTCCTTAACCAACAGGAGCAACGCTAGCTCGTTCCCGCAGCTGGGAAGGAAGCCCGCGTACAACTAGCTCAGCCTGGAGGGGGCACCCTCTGCCTTCTGTCCCAGGACCGCAGCCCCGCCCCCTGCCCGCGGTGGCAGGGTCAGAGGCTGAGCTGAGAGGGAGGCTCTCTGCTGGGCGCCTGGTGGAGGCAGGAGACTGATTAACGGAGTTGGAGGCTGCGCGAAGTGAGCTGGGCACGAGTGGGAGACGTGAAGGAGGGACTGCGGGGCAGGCGGACTGAGAGGATATGACGAGATGGGACAACCACTTTTCAAAGACCTGAGCCTCCCTTTTTACTCTTTTCTTGGCTTCTTTGGGATTAATTTTTCCTTCTACTAATACAATAGGAACGTTATAAGTGCTCTTTCTATTTTTAAGTGCTTACCCAACAAATTACAATATGCATATTTAATTATCAAAGAATAAACATAATCTCTTCCATTGAACAACACAAAGACCTTATAACAATTTACCCCTTGAAATTAAAATATGAAAAGTAATTATTAAGTATTCTCCTTTTTAGTCAAACAGGGCCTATTGTTGTGCACAATCGTTTATTGGATTTCCTCACACATGCGTCACTTTCTTTGCTCCTTCTTGTTCTTCAGCTCTGTGACCTGCGATCACTTTTCTTTTGGATGAAAACATACATTATGGCTGGGAGAAAGTTACATCACAAGGAATAAAGGCAAGTGGTGCTCAGCCTAAAAAATGTCTTTGATTTTCATCCTTGAAAACATATTTCCCCCTGAGCAGGTCTCTTCTACCATTCCACTTTCTTTGGCCTCCAGGATTAATGTTGGGAAACCAGATGTCACTCTTTTCGAAGTAATCTGACTTTTGCTGGCTACATTGGATATATCCTGTTTCTTTGGACTTCTGTTACTTGTCTAGGTGTGAATTTCTTTTAATTTATCCAGTTTGGGATTTTGGGGGGACCTTGGATATGAGGGTTGGTGTATTTAATCAGTTCTAGAACATTCTCAACTATTTTCTGTTTAATTATAGCCTCTGCCTTTCCTCCTCATTTCTGGAACTCCAGTTAAATGTCTACTAGAATTTCTTACTATCTTCAATGTCTCGCTCTCTCTTTTTTTTTTTTTTTAAGATTTTATTGGGGAATTGGGGGAGGGGAACAGAAGTTGCCGTTCTTTTGTTCTTCAGTCTAGATGTGGAGGACGATGCTTCACTGGCCCATGTTGGTATTATCATTGCACTCTTCCCCGGTGAGGCAGATTGGTCACCGGTCATTGGATGGCCACTCATGGTAGCTTTATGGCAGCCCACTGCAGCCTCACTGCTGCCTACGCTGTTGCCGGCGACTCATGGCAGCCCAGCTCCAGGTCGAGCTGTTGTTCACCATCTTAGCTGTATAGGGCGCAGCATCACTGACCCTCATGTGGGATCCAAACTGGGGCCCTGCTGCTCAGAGCTGGTGTCCCAAGCCAAATCTTAACCAACATGCCACTCAGCCAGCTCTTGAGTCACTTTTTATAGCTTTTTCTTCCCTGTAGATATTCTCAAGCTTGGCTTTTATTTCTTTAGATATAGTAGGCATAGTTACAGCCTATCATGTGAGTCTGAAAAATGTCGGAACCTGAGTTTATCACGTCGTTTGTGTAGACACTCATGGTGCCTTGCTTCCTTGCATGCTGGATGTCTTAGTCTGCTAGAGCTGCCAAAACAAAATTCCACCAACTGGGTGCTTCAAGAACAGAAATTTATGTTCTCACAGTTCTGGAGGCTGGAGGTCCGAGATCAGGGTGGCAGCATGGTGGGTTCGTGGTGAAGGCCCTCTTTCTGGTGTGCACATGGCCTTTTTTCAGTGAGTGCACAAGGAGAAGGGGAGGGGGAGTGGGAAGAGGAGGGGACAGGAGGGGGAGAACACAGTCTCAGGGCTCTTCTTATAAAGACACTAATCTCACTGGATCATGACCCCACCTGTATGACCTCATTTAACCTTGATTACTTCCTTGGAGGGCCCATCTCCAAACACAGCCACACTGGGTGGTTATGGCTTCAACATATGAATTTTGGGGGGACACATTTGTTCATGACATTTGGTTACTTTTGATTGTATGATGGTCACAGTTCTTGGGAAATAATTAAGGGACTTCTGTGATATCCAGGAGGAAGCTGTGCTCCTCAGGAGAGGTTTTCTGTCTGCATCTCCCAGTTCTTGGTGAGCTACATTTCCTATTTGCTCCAACTAAAATTATGAGTTGAATATATTGGATAATCAGGTGATAAGAATTTGGGCTGCAAATCCAGGCAGGAGCAGACTCTGGGGTGGCTCATATTCAGATTTACTTGTAGTTTACCCTTTTGTTGTGAGTATATCCTCATAGGTCCCAGATTTGTGGGGCGATGTTCTCCCATTACATGCCTCTACCTTGGGCCAGACCTAAGCTCTTACTTAGGTTCCACCCCCTTCCCTGAATAAAAAGCTCTGTTTATTGGGTTCAGCAAATGCCCATGAAGGAATATTGCTCTGGGTTCCCATCACCTAGATTTGGGGCTAATGTTTCTTGCTGTTTTGTCAGCTTTAGTGCTTCCAGATGTACTCAAACTATTTAAATCAGCATATCTTGTTTCCAGCAGGAAGGTTGGTCCTAACAATTTGCAAACAGAACTTTTTTCATCTGCTCTTGGTTCTTAAATCTTTAGCCTTCCAGGCCTCAATTATTATTTATTTGTTCATTGTTTTAGCAAATTCTTATTGAATTTGTTAAAATTCTGTGCTGAGCATTGGGAAACAATGGTGAATGTGAGGCACGATACCCAGATATTTGGTCAAACATTATTCTGGATGTTTCAGTGAAGGTGTGTTTTGGATGAGATTAACACGTACATTGGCAGACTTTGAGTTCAGCCAATTACCCTCCATAGTGTGGGTGGGCCTCATCTACTCAGCGAAGGCCTGAATGGAACAAACACTGATCTCCCCAAAGGAGAGGGTATTCTGGGCAGAACTCTCCATACTGCTGGCCTACCCTGTGGATTTTGGTCTTCCATCTCCACAATTGTGTTAGCTGATTCCTTAAAATAAATCTCTCTTTATATACACACATCCTGGTGGTTTGGTTTCTCTGGAGAACCCTGATTCATACAGGGAGCAAAGCAGGCTTTCTTCTGCCCTCAAATCACTAAAGTCTAGTTGGGGAGACAGATGCTAATTGCATAATCATGTGCAAAAAAACCCCAAACCAAACCAAACCAAAAAACTAACACGCCACACCTAAGGGTGTTGCAGGAGACTTCTGGGTGGGGGAAAACCCATGTGAGGGGTGGCCGTTCTGACCTTGAGAGCTGGAGCTGAAGAGACCTGACAAACAAGGGGACAATGGCAGCCAGAGCAGAGGGAATAGAGGGCGGAGAGCATCGTGCTGTGGCAGTGTCTGTGCCTCAGAGCAAGGGAAGGCCAGTGGGCAAGGTCAGGGCTGAGTCAGGGTAAGACAACAGTCAGGGCCAGGGTCAGGTCAAGACCAGGGTGGGAGCAAGGCGAAGGCCAGGGCAAGGGCCACACTAGGTCAAGGACAGGTCAAATGCAAGATCAGGGGCAGGAGCAGGGCCAGGGCGAGCAGAGCGCAGGAAAGGCCACCAGAAAGCCTCAAAGCCTGTGCAAAGCAGCAACGTGGCCCCACCCTCACTCACGTCGCCCCCCGTCACCCAATCCCCGCGCGTCTCCGCGCCCGGTCCCGCCCCCCACCCAATCCCCGCGCGTCTCTGCGCGTGGCCGGCGACGCAGTGCCAGAGGTGGTTGCTGCGCTGGGAACATGGAGGACCTGCTGAAGCGGGAGCTGGGCAGGAAAGGCCACCAGAAAGCCTCAAAGCCTGTGCAAAGCAGCAACGTGGCCCCACCCTCACTCACGTCGCCCCCCCCCACCCAATCCCCGCGCGTCTCCGCGCCCGGTCCCGCCCCCCACCCAATCCCCGCGCGTCTCTGCGCGTGGCCGGCGACGCAGTGCCAGAGGTGGTTGCTGCGCTGGGAACATGGAGGACCTGCTGAAGCGGGAGCTGGGCTACAGCTCCGTCAAGGCCACGGGTCACTCGGGGGGCGGGTGCATTAGCCAGGGCCAGAGTTACGACACGGACAGAGGACGAGTGTTTGTGAAAGTGAACTCCAAGGCGGAGGTCAGCGCCGATGGGGCGGGGTCCGCGATTTGGGTTCGGGGGTCCGGGTGGGGCCTTGAGGTCCGGGGCCCTTGTCTGAGGTCCGGGACGGGCCGTCACAGCCCGTGGCCCCAGGGCGGTGGCACTTGGTGACCTGGTCTTTACCGTCAGGCTGTGTCGGGGCGTTTCTGGGGCCAGCACCTCAGGCTCAGCCCTGTGCGGCCACTTAAACCCCAGGGAGGTTCAGCGGACCGTCCAGGCCTGTCCGGCGTCATCTGCTGGCGCGCGCAGCCAGCCGTCCGGCGCCAGTGTGGACGGCGAATGCCGTGCATGGTTTTCCCGCGATTGATGTGGCCGCTGCTTTACGTTATGTTTGCGTTATATTTGCGCTATGTTTGGCGAGTTTTGCACAGGGACGGGTAGCAGAAGCCTCATGTCCTGGGGTTTATTTGGACTTGCAGAGATCAAAAACGCTTTCTGAGTTACTGCAAATAATTTACCCACTGCCTTAGTGTGGGCTGTTATGGCGATGCCACAGATTGGGCAGCCTGAGCTACACACACTTATTTCTCACAGTTCTTGAGTTCGGAAGCCGAGATCAAGGCGCTGGCAGATTCAGTGTCTGGTGAGAGCCCACTTCCAAGACGTAGAGGTGGCCTTCGGGCGGGGGTGTCCTCACCCAGGGAAGGGCTCTCCAGGCCTCTTTTATAAGGGCACTAATCGCATCATGAGGGTCCCACCCCTAAACCTAATCGTCCAAGACCCCACCTCCTAACACCATCACACTGGGGGTTAGGTTTCCACTTAGGAATTTGGGGGACAAGCATTCAGCCCATTGCAGCCACCTGCTCCATTGTGTATGTATATGAGCTTTTTTCTCAAGGGCTATGTAGAAAATAGGTGAGTGGCACTGCTAAAATTGTTACTTACTCCTGGTTGTTGGTGTCACTTTGCCCTGTTTAGTGGGGGCTCCCGCAGGCTGAGGCGCTTACCTAGTACCAGGTCCTGCGTGTCATGCACCATAGCTGTACTTTTATCCTTAGAAACAGATGACCCCTTTCTGAAAAGCTCTTGTTCTCTCCACACCAGCCATCAACCTTTGTTCTACCAAGATCAGCTGTGTCATCCTGTCCACATCCCTGTTACAGGAATTTGTCAACTATTCATCCTTGAAGTTACTCTCACATCGATTTACATCAAGCACTTCCAGTGTGGTGGTGGCATTTCTTCCTCCCTTTCTGCTGAGGGACTTATCTGGGTTTTTTCCCTCTTGTATGGCATCTGTCTTTATCATACCTGTATTCACACTGTCGCTGCATTTGTAATAATTCCAAACTGGGTGTTGATTACAGGGGAAGCAAATATTTTTTGTTGATCAAAATGGAACCTTTGGTGATGCTTTTTACACGTTGTTCTTCTGCTATTTTGGGGGTTCGTTTTGTTTTGTCATCCAAGTCCATTTTCTTGGTACTTTGCTAATTCTTAACTTTTGCCGGTAAGTTCCTTATAGTCCTTTGGTAGATAGTTCCAAATATGTCATTTTCTAGCTTGCTCTGGAGTACATTGTGTGAATTATATACATGTATTAGCCGTAGCATAAATATTTGCTGGTTGGATAGAAAATAGGACTTTTTTTTTTTTAAGATTTTATTGGGGAATTGGGGGAGGGGAACAGTGTTGGGGCATCAGGGAAGGGGAACAGACAAGTTGCCCCCCTTTTGTTCTTCAGTCTAGTTGTGGAGGACGTCACTTCACTGGCCCATGCTGGTATTATCATTGCGTTCTTCCTGGGTGAGGCAGTCGCACGCTGGCCATTGGACGGCCATTCACGGTGGCTCACGGCAGCTCACGAAAGCTCATGCCTGCTGCCGGCCAGCCTCACTGCAGCCTACACCATCACCGGTGACTCACAGCAGCCCAGCTCCAGGTCAAGCTGTTGTTCACCATCTTAGCTGTAGAGGGCGCAGCGTCACTGGCCCTCATGTGGGATCCGAACTGGGGCCCTGCTGCTCAGAGCTGGCGTCCCAAGCCAACTCTTAGCCAACGTGCCACTCGGCCGGCCCAATAGGACTCCTTTTATGCTTTATCTTTTAGGAGGTGAAAAATGTCTTTTTCCAGACTTCTAAGAAAAGACTACTTCGTCGCTCTTCCCTTTTCCTTCTCGCCCCAGCTTGAACTGACCCGCTTTAAGCAGTTGTGCCTTCTGATTACACTTATCTGTCCTGTGCAGACTCGTGTAGTTGGTTTTCGTGTGTATGCCTTTCTTGAGCTCTAGACCTTTTGTAGCCCTCCATCCCAACTGATGCCTTGGTTCAGCTCCAGAGCGGCAGTGTTCTTCCCCGTAGTTAGATGCTTAGGGCCATGTAGCTATTGTATTTCTGTGAGGGAGCCTTGACCTCTGGGTGGGTTCACAGATCCTGCTTCCCCTCTTCCTGCATGTCTTAAAATTTCTATCCCTAACTTTGCTCTTCAAAACTAGTGCCCTAGTGCAAAACATAGCCAGGCCCAGTTGTTTTCCTTTTGTTTTCTAAAGGGAATGCTCTGAAAATTCTCTTCAAGACACAGTTCTTATCTTTCTCCTCCACGACTTTAGATCTTGGAGGTAGTATAATAGTATTTATGAAGTGTTTAGAATGGACTGTGTGTTAGCTGCTCACTTAGTTAGTCATGGCAGCAAGCCCATGGTATTGGTACTATTATTAACCCCAGCTTACAGATGTGGAAACTGAGGCACAGAGAGCTTATGTTACTTGCCCAAGGTCTCTTAGAATTACTTAGAATTACTAAGTATGAAAACATGCAGAAGAATGTCCATGGTGGCACTGTCCGTGGTAGCCCCAGACTGGAAGCCCAGCTGTCCATCATTAGACTGGATGACCACATTCTGGAATATTCCTCTAGCAGAGCTCTGTACAGCAGTGAGATTAAACTGTTGATGCACCAAAGTAGCAAATGCAGCATGGAATAAAGAAGCCAGACCATCTGCGTCTGTGTGCAGATGACAAAGCAGACAAAACAAATCTGCAGGCTTGGGGCAGCAGGGGCCGGGAGAGGAGGAGCCCCCGCGTGAGGTCCTGTCGAGATCCGTGCTTGCAGACACGCTGACTGTGAGAGCTCTGAGTTGTGGGCTGTACTGCGCATACTTCTGTAGCATTTGTACTTTACAAAAAAAAGATCCTTTAAAGGGAAGGAATTATTTTAGTCTGGAAAATTCAGGAAGATTTCTCAGAAACCAGACTGATACTAGGTTGAAATCTGAACAATGACTTGGAAGGAGCTGACTTGGCCAAAGCCTGGGATGGTGTTCAAGCAGAGGTGGTGGCTTTGGGGGTGGAGGGAGCGGGGGTCTTTGAGAAACTAAAAGAAGGCTGCAATCCAGGAGCACAGGGTGTGTGCTCACATAGGAGGAGGGTGGAGCCCTGGCAGGGGCCTCAGATGAGGGTGGGAAAGTGGGCTGTGCCAGGCCCCTGTCCTGCAGGAAGCAGGCGGGTTTGTTAGCTGAGGGGGTGTCTCCCCGCCTCATGGGCTTTGCCTTCCTAAGGATGACAGCAGTGTGATGAGCAGGGCACCTGGCCAAGGACGGTCGGTGCAGTCCCTGGGGAACAAGGACTTTTGCACTAGGATGGAAATGGTGGTCGAGATGATAATGGTGTCCAGTGCTAGTAGGAGATGCCATAGAGCTTGGTCCGTTCAGGGGAGGTGACCCCAGGTTCCTGGCATATGCAGATGAGGGCCACCTGCAGCTGAGCGCCAGGAGGTGGTGCAGAGCAGGGGCTCGCTGCCCAGTGCACATAGGAGCCAACCTCTGACATCAGCTTTTGAGAAAAGAAAAGGCTTTATTGTGAAATGAGACAGGAGGCAGGGCTCAAATCTGTCTCCCCAATTGAGGGTTTGTGTGGCATTGAAGGGTTAGGGGAGGCTGGGCTGGTAGGCGGGGCAGGCTTCAGTCGGAGGGTCTTCCTGGACAATGGACCGGACTGGCGATCGCGTTCCAGTCAAGTCCCAGCTCTTTGGTTCTGTGTGTGGGGATTTGAAGCTTTGGTTCTGGGTGTCATTGAAGTCAGAAGTCTCCCCTGTTGCATGCTTTGGCTGCATGACATACAGTTGGTTCTGTTGTCGCTGAAAGACAACTCAGGATGTTTTTAGGGACAGGGTAAGGCCTGTTTGAGCTGGTTCTACAGTCACAGTGGACAGGGCTGTGGTGGAGATGCTGCCTGAGGACGATATACCCGGTCCCACTCTGTGCCAGGCATTTTTGGTAGCCACCTACCTCCCCCTCTGCAGAGAGTATGGGCTCAACCATAGCATAAGAATGAAGTTTGTCAGGCCCGGCCGAGTGGCTCAGTTGGTTAAGAGCTCACTCAAGAGTGTGAGCTCTGAGCAACAGGATCACCGGTTCGATTCCCAGCCCGAGCTGAGCTGCCACTGAGCTGCCAACAGGTAGCAGGATGGCTCAGCTAAAAAAAAAAAGGGAAAAAACAAACAAGAATGCAGTCTGTCACTGAAAGGACAGTCCTCGTGCCTGTGCAGCTTCAGCACAAGTAAGCTCCGAGCAGCTGAGAAAGCTGCCTGTGTCTCTTGAGTCTGTAGCCAGGAAGCCTTGATCTAAAATTGTAATGCTCCGGAAAACACGTCTACACAGAACCTTTCCAGAAGTAGTCTCACTGCCTCCTCTTTCCCATCCTCCATTATTTTTTCTGACAGGCTAAAAGAATGTTTGAAGGTGAGATGGCAAGTTTAGCCGCCATCCTGAAAACGGACACCGTGAAAGTGCCCAAGCCCATTAGGGTCCTTGCCGGCCCAGGAGGCGGCAGCATGCTGGTGATGGAGCACGTGGACATGCGGCCTCTGAGCAGGTATGTCTTGCCACCTTCCCCGTGGGCTTTACTTTTCCTCTGAGTGGTTCCTTCACGCCTGAAGCTTGTATTTGGGGGTGCCATTTTGAGGGTGTGATAGAAGGAAACTACACCCCCGACACATCATACTCTGCAAGCCCTATGCAAGCAGGGGAGGGAGGCATCTCGGTGCGGTGCTGCCAGGCTGTGGCTGCAGGTTCAGTGTGGCTGCGAAAGACCGTCCTGCTGTCAGGGCACTTCAGCTCCTCCTTGCTGCCCCCAAACAGACTTTGTATCCCCACCATGTCTGACCTTCCGTATGTGACCTGAGACTTTCAGGTGGACGTATGTCTGCGTTGGTGTCATGCTTAGCTGCTGCCTTTTGGTTTCACAGTCATGCTGCAAAGCTCGGAGCCCAGCTCGCGGCTCTGCACCTGGATAACAAGAGGCTGGGAGAGACGCTGCAGAAGGAAGCTGGCACAGTGGGTATGGGATTCTGTGGGCCAAGCGGGGCCCTGCCCAGGGGACGGCATTTGGGTATATGGCTCTGCTGCAGCCACGTGAGGATCAGACCCGGGTTGACGCCAAAGCAAAGGAAAGCCAACCCCAAGGTCACATGTTCAGGGTGCAGGGAACACAGCCAGTGCTATACTGTACTGTATCACAGATGCATCAGAAAGACAGGCAACATTTCCTGGACTCAAAACCCTACCGTATTAGGGTGCCTTTGACCTCTCACTCCCCAGAAGAGAGTCTATCAGAGTTTTTCTGACTTTCCATCTAGTGCCTTCCTAAAGACAGATCATATGTGAGGCTCAGCATGAAGCCCTCACAGCCAGAACTTAGCGTGGTGTTAGCATTGAGAGTGTCTTCCAGTATTTTCATCATTCCACTTTTGATAATCCACGTGTAGCATGTATGGTAACTCTGCTAAGCAGAGCAGCTGACACCAGAAACAGATAGCTGAGAATCTTCTGTGCTAGATAAACAGATCCTGTCCCGTGACAATCTACTGTTCTACACAGATAGATCCCAAAAGCCTACAGTGAGAATCGGCTCCAGACAGACTTCCTGTCACTGTCCTAACCTGGGAGAATCCATGTGCGAGACAGACAGATCGTATTGGTCAATCTGTTCTGTGCCTTCGAAGCCACGGGTAGTTCAGTCCTGTAGGATTTGCTTTGAGTTGGGGAGCTGCAAGGAGACCTTTTCAAAGCATAGCAGTTTATCTTTCACAGGTGGCAGGGGCTAAGCTGGCCACTGAACGCCATCCTGTCCTGATGTGTCACGGTGGATTTTTTTCCTCCGTTTCTGGACACAGCATTGCTCCTCAGCATCCTGGGCGTCTGTCCTGGAAAGTAATGAGTCCTCAGTTGCTCAGTCTGAAGGAACGGACTCAGCTCTTGGGCCCTTAGTTTCAGTGGAGACCAGGACCCTGTGTGTCTCTGGATGGGGACATGAGGTGGAGAAGGGCATGCTGACGTTTGTCCCCACGCTACTCTGAGCTCTAATAGTGGGCCTGAGGGACACTAGTCGCCTGTCTTGTTTTCCTTTTGGTTTCCAGGGAGAGGAGGTGGGCAGGTGGAACGGCCCTTCGTGGACCAGTTTGGATTTGATGTGGTGACGTGCTGTGGCTACCTTCCCCAGGTGAGCGACACCTGCATTTGACCTCCATTTCCGAGTCAGGTCAGCTGTCCAGAAACAGCTGGGGAAGGCTGTGAAATTCAGTAAAAAAGTTTTTGCTTCAATGTTTTCTTCGCTAATTTTTAAGATGTTAACACAAGGTTTACTTACCTCATATGCTAGGTAAAGTAAGCTCAGGAGCAGAAGACCAGAGAGTTAGTATGCCGGATTTCAAGGTGGGTGAAAATTAGAAATTAGAAAAATGGTTTATTTTAAGTAGTAAGCTCTCAAAGATAGCATAACGCAAAGGGATTGTAACTTTCGGTTTTATGATTGTACGGTTGACGCCCCTGGGAATTTCAGCCTGGGAGGTCTGTTTGGTGTCTGGCGAATGCGGAGTGATTAGGGTGGCTGCTGAGCTGTCAGAGGACTGGCAGGTGGCTTCTTGGAAGGGGGACTGCGTCAGGGAGCTCCTGGTGCACCCGGGGGTGCAGTGGACACTGTTCAGATTTTGAAATGCAGGAGGTTGTCCGTTCCTGCCTGCGGTGGTGAATGGCTGACAGCTGGGCCTCCTGCTCTGTGCTGCTCTGTGGGCGCTCAGCCGGCTCCTCCTTTCTCTCCTCCTCTGACTCGTGGGCTCTGTGTGTGCATGTGCATCTGTGTGAGTACACATGTGCGTGGTGAGTGCATGCGTGTGTGACGGTCTGTCGTTTGGCATCACGTACTGCTCCTTGTGCTGCTTTTCTCGCGTGTCTGTCATGCTTCTCTGCTGGCGGGCCAGCGCCTGTGGCCTGGACAGCCTCGGCGGTCTTCTGAACGGGGCTCCACAGGACTTCTCACGATAGCGCTCTGGAGAGGGCAACACTGGCTGCCTGGCGGGGGCTGAAGGGGGTCGTCCGTGGCCAGTGGTGGTCAGAAGTAAGCCACCGGGGTCAGGGCAGGCCAGCCAGCTCTGTGAGTGTAGATGGAAGGACAGTGGCCTAGAGCTCTTCCCAGGGGACCCTGGTGCTTTGCACTGGGACGGTTCCCTCGCTCCTCACTGCGCCTGGAACAGGATTGAAGTCCCACCATGTCTATGAGGCCCCACGCTGCCCAGTCAGCCCCACCTCCTCCACACTGTCCAGCCCTTTGCACTTCGGGGTCCATCCATCAGCCCTGGCTTTGTCCTTCGCTGTCGCCTGTGCAGGTGAACGACTGGCAGAAGGACTGGGTGGCGTTCTATGCCCGGCAGCGCATTCAGCCCCAGATGGACATGGTGGAGAAGGAGTCTGGAGACAGGGAGGCCCTCGAGCTGTGGTCTGCTCTACAGGTGAGTAAGAGCCCCGCTGTGCCCTGTGCCCACCATGCCCTGCAGCCCCCGCAGGCCACTGTGGCTCTTGGTCCGGATGGGAGGCAGGTGGGGCTGGCCCGTGGGGTGGCTGTGTGGTCCCTGCACCTGCCTGAGCCCTGCCCTGAGGCGCACAGGCGCCCTCGCTTTGCTGAGGCTGAGTTTCCTCCCTGCAGTTGAAGATCCCTGAGCTGTTCTGTGACCTGGACATCGTCCCAGCCCTGCTCCATGGGGACCTGTGGGGAGGAAACGTGGCCGAGGACACCTCTGGGCCCGTCATTTTTGACCCGGCTTCTTTCTACGGCCACTCGGAATATGAGCTGGCAATCGCCGGCATGTTTGGGGGCTTCGGCCGCTCCTTCTACTCTGCCTACCACAGCGAGATCCCCCGGGCCCCCGGCTTTGAGAAGCGTCTGCAGCTGTACCAGCTCTTCCACTACCTGAACCACTGGAACCACTTCGGATCTGGGTACAGAGGGTCCTCCCTCAGCATCATGAGGAGCCTCACCAAATAAGCTGGCTGTCCTCAGGGGCCTCAGGCTCACGGGCACCTCCACAGTCCTCTCCGTCCGGGCTCCTTCGTTTCTTCACATGCCTGGAGTTGCTTCAGACCAGTGCCCAAGCCTTGGAAAGCACGTAGCGTCTCAGAAGAAAGGTACTGTCGTCCCAAAGATGGACACTTCGTCCGACTTCATAGCTTTCATAGCTGGCTAAAACTGCATGACGTGAACACAGGGACCCGTGGAGCATGGGATGTGTCGAACCACACGGCCGCCCCACCTGACGAGGAGGGAAGTGGCCGGTGTGCCAGCCTCCGCTGCTGAGGACACCTTTCCGCAAGCTCTTCCTGTCTCACTCCAGGAATGACGGTGTACAGGGTGACGCTTCCTGATGGGCCAGGCTTGGGTCTAGACGTGAAGCCGTCCTACCACCTTACCATCTTACAATGACCAGTCCCAAAGTCGAGCACATTCCCTTTCTTTCCATCACCTTTGGGCCAGCCGCAGGCTGAGCAGGTTTGGGATACTTCTGGGAGCGACTAAACTGCCAGCCTTAGGATGTCCTCAGTAAATCTGGGGGCCACCGACTCGCTCCTCTCAGCACCCCTGCTTGTCTGCCGTTCCCTAAAGCTTGCTGAGAGTCGTTCCTTCGCATCAGAGAAAACGAGCACTGAGCAGTGTTTTCGCTCCTCGGTTGTGCAGCGATGAGAGACATTCCAGAGGCACTGATGCCAGTAAACCTTTTGCATAAACTTTCAGTGGTTTCAGTGATGCAAAAGGCTGTTTCCCTCATTTAAATCGTAATTCACTGTTTTTCCCAGCTGTTTGCCAAGAAATCTTTGTAATGTCTTATGACAATAAATAGTTTCAACTGCTGTTTCTTAAAAGAGCAATTTTTTTCTTGACTTTGTTCAGTAAGAGAACAGCTTCACAGTACGGACAGGCACAGCCTGGGGACTGGGATGTTTGGGGCGCAGTTTAACTGCTGTCACCCTGTGAGGTTTGGTGAACAGCAATCAGAGTGGTGTAGGAAGCGACCTGAATTCCCCTCCCGTGGGACTTACTCTCTCATTTACCCTGCAAAGCAAACCCTGTGTCTTGAAAAGTCTTGGGGAGCTTGGTCTCCTGGACTTGGGCATCCCTGGCCTTTGAAGAGCCTGAAGCTGGTGTGGACCCATCCTGTCCCTTTGCTTTGTTACAAAATGTCTGGAGTGCGGTGTTCCCCACCCACCAGGCGTGCTGGGTGCTGTTCTGTCCCATCCTCCCTCCATTTGCCCCTTCCTTCCCCCAGTGTCAATTTTACTTCCACTTGGTTTTTTATCAGATTTGCTAAGACATCTCATCTTGGTGGTCTGAATATTAAAGCTCTTCATTTGGGGGGTGGGGAAGAGCCATCTGCCTGAGGGGACGTGGTCCCAGGGCAATTCCCCTGGAGGCCAGGATGATGGACAAGTGGTGACAGATAAGCCGTGATACCTGGACAGCCGCCTCTGGGCCCTGCCCCTCCAGGCTGCAGCCAGGGCCTCAGGACCCCGACCCCGCCCTGGCTGCCCGGTGATGGCCCTGGGGCTGTGCCCTCCGCTGCCCTCCCTGTGCCCCTTTTCTGAGCAGTGTTACAAATCTCCCCCGAGTCTCGCTCTGCGCAGAGCAATGGGACATTTCCCGGCTGTGGGCTGTGTGTTCCTTCTCTGTGCCACTGGACTCTCTTCACAGGTGGGCCTGAGGAAGCCGGAGGGTGACCCCACGGGTACCTTGGCCGGTCCTACCACCCAGAGTCAGCTCCCAGACACATTCCCTTCCACAGCACTGTCCAGAGAACTCGTCAGCCCCGAGTCCAGGTTCCAGGTGGGGCTGAGGTGCCTTCTGCACCTTGGCAGCTGTAATTCTGGCTCTCGGAGAGCCGGAGGATCATGGGAGTGGCTGCAGTGGGGAGGGGATGCACAGCGCACGGAGCTGCTTGAATGTGCCCAAGTCCTTTGTCCCAGCTGAGCTGACCACAAACCCAAACTCAAATGCAGGTTTGGGAGGAGGGCGGGGTGGTCGTGTAGTCCGAAGGCTCCCCCGGCATGTGTGTGCTGAGGACTCTGTGCTCGGACCCAGGACTACTCAGCGGGAGCCAGTAGCCTGGGGAGCGCCCCATGTGCCTGGGTTTGGGACCAGCAAGATGTGCCACTGCATGGCTGTCAACTGCCACGTTCAGACCCTGCTTGGGCAAACAGCCACTGACAGAACAGCTGGGAGGGGAGGACACGGAGGTCCCTTCCTGCAGGCGACCACGGCCTCTCCCTCCCCCCTCTCCTTGCAGTGACCTTGAGCACGCATGCATGTGTGTCCACATGTATGTGTGTGTGTGTATGTGTGTATGTTCTGAAAGTTCCTTCCCTGGGCGGGCCGCGGGTCTGTAATCAAGAGCCCCATTTGGGGTGGGTCAGCCGCCTGGTATCAGACGCCCCAGAGCAGCCTCTATCTCTGATGAGCACCAGGCGCCCTGATGAGCAAACCCAAGGCCAGCAGTGGGTGTCACTGGGCAGTGCCTGGGCCTGGCAGGACGCCACCCAGATCCCCAGCCTACAGTCCAGTCTCTTCTGGGCTGTGTCCTGTGTCACTGGTGGGAGGGGCCTGGGCCCAGGTCCCATGAGGGTTCATGGAACCTCTGGGCAGGGAGGTCCGGCCCTACAGGACCCTGGGGGACCCCAGTGGGTGGACCCCACTTGCAGCTGTTGGGGCACACTGACTGTGGACCCATGGGGAGGGCAGCGCCCCCACTTCAGGGCTCCCCACTCCCCCCTCCCCCCTCCTCTGTTTCAAGGCTGGGTCCTGACCCCGCGCGCCTGGCCTGACAGCGCCCCCTCCCAACAGAGAACCAACGGAGGCGGATCCGGGAGGCGGGACACCAGTGAGCTCAGAACCCGTAGGCCGGTGGGCCAGGCGCCGCCTCCGCAGACAGCGGCCTGGGTAGCGACAAGCTTTCGTCCCTGGCCCGGTAGTCTGCGCCATCCCCGCGTCCCTCTCCGTGTCCCTTGGTCCCTGTGTCCCGAGTGTCCCCCGCTCTTATGGAGCAGCTGCTGCGCGCGGAGCTGCGCACCGCGACCCTACGCGCCTTCGGGAGCCCGGGCGCTGGCTGCATCAGCGAGGGACGCGCCTACGACACCGACGCGGGCCCCGTGTTTGTCAAGGTCAACCGCAGGACGCAGGTGCGGGGGCTGGAGCGGGTTAAGGGGTGGGG